GCACACACGCACGCACGCACACACGCACGCACGTCGTTGATCGTGAGGCGTCACCTTGATCTGTCAGTTATCGGCGAAAGTGGATCTCGATCCCGGGATTCTTCAACGAAGTTCACGGGGCCTCCTCCCCCCTAGCCTACCTCCGTTGTTCCCCAGCGACCCTGGTCGCTCGTCCTCACTTGAAGGTAGAGGAACACACTCCACCTACACCGGAGACCGCGACAACCGTCCCGATCACTGACTTTCTTTTTATGTTTCGCGTTTTATGATCCCCGGCAACGCCTGTGGTTTTTAGTTTCGTATTTTCTGCTGTTCCGTGCCACACCGTTTGTCTGGAGAGGAACTTTCTTTTTTAGTGTGGTGTGTAACGAGTTGACTTTCTTGTTGTGGATTGTTATTGTGTACTTCACTGAAACAGGGCCCGTCTAACAGCCTTGAAAAGTGATTCGAGTTTTAATTTAACTTTTTGCAAACATGTTTAACCCTTCATGGTGTTGTTGTTTCATATTTTACTAGATTCTAGTTTAAAAAGCTGTTCGAAAAGCCCAAAGTTACGCGGATGGTTATTAATGTATCTGTCGTATTTGTTGTAAATAGATAGATCTAGATCTATACCCGAACGTAGATCTAGTTCGTTCTTAGTCATTATCGCAACCCAGCAGCCGCTGTTTTCCCCTTGCCGCTCAAATGTGCTACGAGAACGTAGCTGTAATAAATTTTCTCAATTGAAGCAACAGCCGGTTCTGGAGCTTTGTGAGGTACCAGATTTTGTTAATTCTTGGTGTGCGCGTGCTGCTTGGCGTGTGAGGTAGGTACAAAGGTAGATTAAACTTTGCAAAGCGTTTTTCCGATGAACAGTCATTCTTCAAGTTATTTTGCTTTTTTTCCTCCACCCCTTTCTTACAAGCTGTTCGCGTAGTAAAAGCTTAATCGATGAGCCAGGCCGATCGCGTTACTGGATTCCTCTGAGACTGAGGGGCTTGAGTCGTGTGTGAGCTTCCCACCTTGTTGACTTGTGTTGACATTATTGTTTTCCCACACGCGGCACGGGGTCGTTTGACTGATGATTTGTAGTAGTAGCACACCGCCGAGAGATTCACGCAAGGCCTAGTTGTGAGGGATTCTTCTCTTCCCAGGCACGTTGTTCTAATGTAGTTATAATGTAGTGTAAACGGTTCCCTTTGTTGAAAGTTTCACTTTTTTCTCCATTTACTTACGTCACACTATATGTTGTTGACTTTTGCTTCTCAATACGATGTGGTTGTTGTCGCTGTGTATATTCCAGATTTTGGCGTGGTGTGGTTTTAGTTTTAGGGGATTTCTAGAATGTTCTTTATCATTGTTCACTGTCCGATCAGCCTGGTATGTTGTTTTTGTTAGTATTCTTTGGGGGAAGGGGGCGGAGGCGCGTCTCTGGAGGTACAATATTTTTAGCACGAGATATATTTACCCATGTATGATAGTACAACACTTGGCGCTTGCACCACAGCCTGTAATTATGTAAGCAGTTGAAAAATGGCATGTGAAGAAGGAAAATAAAAAGGAAGTTGAAAGTTAACGTTGGCGTAAGTTACTGTTTTGTTTCTCAATAATGGGAAAGATCTACTTTTTTAAAGATGAAATACTTAAGACCATGATATTTGCGTCATCATCGTCGTTGTTATCACTGTCGTTGTTATTACTGTCATTGTCGTTGTCCTCTTTATACTGTCATGGCTTTACTTCTGCGCCTCTTGAAAAGTATGGGTTTTTTTTTGGGTTTTTAAAGTTTTTATGATGTTGTTTTGTTTTTCGTAAATCAGACTCCCCTTGTTCTAGTTTGTGAGTGTTGACCTGGTGATAATCACAAAGATCGAATTGAGAACTGTGAAAAGTGTGACGAGTGCGCAGTATACTGTGTGGTATCGTGTCGCTGTCAGTGTCCACGTAGATACATCAAGAGCTGCTGTGTTGTTTGTGCGTACTGTATGCCTGCCTGACCTGGGCCGTGCTCCGAACGTGTTGGAACACATCTGTTTTATCACCGCATGCGCTCCGTTGCGCTTCTAGGAAGGTCGGGGCATAACTGCACCGCGGGAGATATGTCCGCATGTTTTATTCATCCTACCCTTAGTGTGCAGCTCCAGCGACACGAGGCGCTTTCTGATTATCAACAACAAGGCGGGCTGGCCTTCAATAGGACTATTCTATATTGTATGTTTTACAACTACTGCATTTCTTTTGTGTTATTGTTCTGTGCCACCCTTGTCAGCCTTTCTCTGTTTACGCCCTCCTCACAATACTCGAGAAATATCTCCTTTTCTTTATTTCTAAATTATGTGTTTTTTGGTTTTAATTTAGATTGGGATTTGCCCTGGTAGTGACGTTGTCCCCTTTCATGTGGTTAAGCTGGGAGGAGGGAGTGAAGTCATGTGCAGCGACCTAGGACCGTACGCATGCGCTTTGCGTGTATACATTCCCCAACAGAAATGAGAAGTCGAGCATTGTGCTATATTTGTTGCTCAATCATTCCAACGACGATAAACGTTTTCTTTGTCGTTGTGGTAGGGTTGTGTCACTCTAACGATCGTGAATAATTTATAAGCAGGCGCGCGCTGAAACACACATACAGACGCGCGCACACACTCGCACACCTGTGCTGTATGAATTATCATAAGTGTAAAGTATCATTTCTATCTGAGCACCCTCTCTCTCTCTCTCTCTCTCTCTCTCTCTCTCTCTCTCTCTCCACCTCCCCCCCCCCCCCCCCCCTTCCCTCTTCTTTTTCGTTGCTGTTTCTGGTCTAGCGCCCACTCCCCACCCCTTCCTCTTTTTTGTTTTGTAAATTACAAAGACTAAGCTTAATGGGTGCTGGTTGGTGGGTTTGGCCAGATGTTTAATCATGTTTACTAGCTGGGAAACAAACTGTTCCGTACGGATCGATAAAATATTCACAAATTGTAACGTGATAGTGTTTCGCTGCGCTGTATTTGCTAACAGCCGTCGTCTAAATTACCGACACCGGATATGGTGTTACAAAGACGCGCTGTTACCGAAAGTGTTACCCCCACCGACCGGTACCGTTAGCTTATTGAAAAGTTAAATTGCGCGCTAGCTGGTTGGCTGCTTTTTTCTCCCGTGTTGCTGTCGAATGTGATCATTTGGCCCTCGGCAGTCGACCGCGCATGACGGAACAGAGTTGCCGTGAGGTAAACGCGAGAGAGTACGCTAGATCTTCTGTACCTCAGGACGCTATTGGTAGTAAGTAGGCACACGGCTCAGTTAGAAGAGCGGGCCCGTTGGGAGATCCTAGGGCCTTTTACCCTCTCGCTCTCTCTATCTCTTCAACGTGTTGGCCTCTTGTGCCCCGTTATCACCGATTGCTATCGATAACTCAAAGTGCGACTCGCTTGAGTGTATTCAAAGGTGGACTGTCGACACATCGCGAGTTTTTCGTTTTGATTGCTATCTCATCGTTGTGTTTTTACCTTTTACCTGTGCGTGTGATATATTATGTTCAGTTTTCCATATATCCGTGTCTACTTCTGATTCAGCAGTGTGGAAAGTAGAAAGTGACCTGGCTTCTTATTGTTATTGAGGAGACTTGAGAGCGAGCTATGTTGTACTTTGAGTGATGAAGTTCACGTGACTGGGTTGTACCACAGTGTTTTTGACTTCACCTGTCGTGTGTTGTTCTTTAAACTCTGTGTGTGTGTGCCTGCTTATGTTGGCAGCACGCGCACAAACACACGTGAACGGGTGCTTTCCTTCAAAAGGAGTTGTTACTCAGCTTGGACGAAGGAAGTGCTAAATATTTTGATTATACTGTGCTGAATTACTTGTTTACAAAAGACAAAACAAAGGGGTAAACCCAAACAAACACTGTCTGTGGACGAGGTATCCGCGTGTAGTTCCGCCCTGTGGAGTCTTCCCCCACCTGCACGTGTCGTGGTGAGCGTGTGTTGGTTCTTGTGAGCAGCGAGCTGTCCCTTTCGCCAGCAGCCCCAGGCCTCACGCAAGTAGCGGGACCCCAGCTTTTCCCCCCGTCTCGCCTCACTGAACGCCCGAGCGCTCACCCTCTTGCCCACGGCCTTCACAGAGCCGCGAGTATTCCACAGACTCGTGTCCCTCTCGCCCGTCTGATCGCTCTTCTAACACCCGTGATCGACTCGTCTCTCTAAGAACAAAGAGTCCGGAGAAAAGCCAGCCCGGACATTGTGCTGTTACTTCTCTTTCTTTCTCTCTCTGTCTCTTTCTCTCACACACACATACTCTCTCACGCATTCCCCACTCGCGCACTCGCTCGCACGCACGCGCACACATCCGGATAGACAACACCAAGTGTTCAATCGGACGTCAAGTGAGGTAGGGGTGACCATATCGCCTTCCTGCTTTACACCCGTACTCACTACTGCCGCCACCGCCATCGTCCCTCCCGACTCGCTGGCACCGTGGTCCGCCGGCAGGCAGCGTGAGCAGCACTAGCTTCAGCAGAGCGGTCCGCGCGGTGCTACCACCACCATCAACAGGCGAGAGTTCCGCGACCGCATCATCATCCCCCGGCCCGGAGCCAGAACAGCGCGGTCGCTCCTCCTCGGCTCCAGCACTTGTTGAGACGGCGAGGGGCTAATCGGCCGTCATTAGCGCTGTCCTCCACGGCCGCCGCCACCACCAGCGCCAGCAGCAGCAGCAGCAGCACTAGCCCCCGCCTGCCTCGGCGTACACACACCGTCCACCATTGCGGTCCACTCGTACCGAAGGCTGAGGATGCACCCCTACTACTACGTCCAGTACGTGCCCATCTCCCTCAAGCAGGACTTGGTGAGTCCATGATACCTACCTACACAGAGTTAGAATACTGCTTCTTCATTGTACAGCTATAGTTTGAGTTTTACTGTCACCTCTCTAAAAGTCTCGCTGCCGACAGGCTTGGCACTTTTTAAAAACTTTTTTTTTGACACAAGAATGTTGACGCTTCACTGTTCCCATGAGAAGTCTATCACACTTTGACAATGATGTGGCCAATATATATGTGCATATAGAATCCGTGTATCACTATTTTTTAAAAGTAAGTTAGATGTAATACAAAGCACCCCCCCAGAAAAAAGTTTTCAAAAAAGTGAGTCAAACAGTTATTATGTGAAAGCCAAGGTTAAACGTATGACGACCATATTCTAAACCTACTGGTTGGGAGATTCTGTTGATGTGACCTCTGATTTTGATCACCGGAACTGTTTGAGCACGACATTGACCGTTATTATACTCAACAAAAGTTAATATACTAATGTACACTGTTGTGCACGCTGTGGGTAGGAAATATTATTTTTGGTAATTACGAAAGAACACTGATGATAGTTGTTACAATAACTCCAATGATAGTTATTATAATAATAGTAATCAATAATAATACTAATAGAAATAACAATATAATGATACTTAGATAATAATATTAATAACAATCGTGGTGA